CTGATTGTGGATCTCTGGGTAAAGAACTCCTATTGACCAAGTAAAACTAGGCTATCAGGTAGAGGGTGATTCATCGTAATCCAATTGGTGGCTTACTCATATATGAGGTGATCCTCGGGGTGCTTCAAATGGTTATGTGATGGTTAGCTCTTGGCCTCAGATGAGAAAACTCAGAGGCCTCTATAGGATAGCCAGTTATGTTGAATGTTTCCTTGAATTTGATTATAGCAAGAAGAAAATTGATGCCCTCACTTAAATTGATAAACTTTAACCTTCGATTAGACGACCTTTGCTCGATCGACCTTCAACCTTGGCTTATGGGGATTCTATTGGTGAATGCTTAGCCTTATGTTGTTGAACCTTAGTCTTTTGTTAAGAGAACTTTATTTTTCTGCTAGTGGACCCTTAATCTTCTGTCTATGCCCAAGGATACTCTTGATTAAACAAATCCTGCTTACACTTATATACCGACTAGTAGGTGGTGTCACAGATGATGATTATCTCGCATGAGCGTTTTGATGCATTCAAAGCTAGTGCCGATCCATACGAGCGGAGAGTAATTCTCTCACGATCCCATACAGATGACGGTTTATTGGTGACTAGGGCTTATAACTAAACGAGCCATCCTATAGGGTCCACAATATTCTTTCAAGGTAAAACCAAACCATGAGGGTGGAGGGTAAATCATTGTATCCAAAATAGGCGGTGGTCTTTCCATAATCGGGGCCTACAAAGACAACATAAATGAAGCATTAAAGGGAGTCACAAGGCCCAAAGGGGGTGAACAAAGGAATGGTACAATAGTCCTAATCAGGTGGAGATAGTTAGGTCAGATCTCACGAATCCATCATCCCAAACTGTTGGGACCCCAAGTCTACCTAGTCGTGAAGTTAATCGACCCAACAAGACCGGAGACCCCCTTGTTAGAAATCTGTGAATTACATCATCCAAAAGAACCTCAGACAAAAGAAGGAAAATATAATCCTATGAACCTACATAGGTAGAAAGAGTAAAGGTGGGACCTGCCAAAATAACAAGGATATCGTTGGAATGGAAATAAACAAGAGGTATGGCTAATAGAGCCATAACTCTCTCATGAAGGAGTTACTCCCTGTCTGGGTCAGGGAAGCCTTTAACTTTCTAAGTTTGCTAGACAACCACATAAGTATAAAACTTATTTTGGGTCAGTCGGGTTGGAGAAGTACGAAGACTTCTTCTTGGGACATGCAAACGGTACAATTATCTAATAAGGCCTAATGTACATGCCCTACTAATTATGACTGGGTATATAACCATGCATGCAGACCATTTTAAATCAGGCACGAATACCATGCAAAAAGTAAAGTGCAAAATTTTGAAAAATCATGAATATTTTAAGCCTAAATTTTAATTAGTCTCAAAATTCTATTATTAAACTTTTGTAGAAAGTTTATAAAATCATAGGTCATAAAGTGTCTAAGTGATTCACATGATTCTCATACAAAATCACAAGGTAAAAAGGGCAAAACCAATTTCAAGCACACAAGCATGCAAGGAAAATAGTAAAGCAAGCCAAATATAAAATAATAAAAGGTTGGATGTCGCTAGGTTGGCAACATATCTTAAAAACAGAAAAAGATGGTCATGCACCACATAAGTACTCACCTGCTCCTAATTCTATACATCAATAAAATTTAGAAGTAAAGTACGAGATACGAGCAAGCTGCTCATAGTCCCCATCATTTGATTTTGCTCGTTTAGCGTCTCGAAACCCATGTCTGTAACTTATTTCAAATACAAACTTTACTAAGGAGTCACCTTTCTCCAATCTCTACACTTCAAATCCTTCAAGAGAAAACCATAGCTCTAAGGAAGAATAAACTATAGAGCTCTCTAGGAAGAATGTGAGTTCAACTCTTGGAGGAGAGAAAAAAATGCTGAAGCGCTTTATTTTAGAAGATCCTTGAGGGAGATCAACTAAATTGCCCAAAATTTCCCCCTTTATTTGCCTAAAGTGGCATGCCAACTTTCAAAAGAAGCTTTCAAAAGGGGCCCCACTTTATCTCCCCTTAAGAAAATATCCACATAACTCCATGAAATCCCTGTTTTCGGCTGCCAAAGGCAGGGTGCAGGGGTCAAAATCATGAAAATTGTGGGAGTGAAAATTGGTCTAGTGCCCAAGTGTCGTGCACCTGTCGCCTATGCGCTGGGGCACTGTGTATGGAGCCAGGTTTTTGGGGGCTCCGCTTCGAGCTATTTTTGGCACTTAGGCTCCCTAAACTGGCGTTGAGTTTTTGCTGACTCAGTTTTAGGACCATTTTTTGGTTGTTTTTGAGGCATAAACACCTAAAACTGGCACCTAGGCACTGAGCTTGGCGCCAGGACCTGGTATTGGGGCTTTTATCTTCTCTGTTCTAAGCCCTGTGAAGCTGTTCTGGGGGCTTAGGTGCCTGAAACCGACACCTAAGCGCTGGCCGTGGTGCCAAGTTTCTATCTTCTCTATTCTAAGTTTTGTGGGGGTTGTTCTGGGCGACTAGGCCCTTGGGGATGGCGCTTAGGCGTCGGTCTAGTCCCGAAAGCCCTGTTTCACCAAAAGTGTCTGATGAAGGGTTTTTTTGATCTGTAAGCTACGAAAAACTAAATATGGCTAAAATATAGTCTAATAACTCCAAAAATAAACATCTTTATGGATCTCGATTGATGGATTTAGGTGCTAACAAGCGCCTCAAAATATGGTGTGGGTACAACATGTTGAACCATAATCTCTCCGGTACGTCCACGAGAAACTTCAATGGGTTTTTTTGTCCACGGGAGATTCTGTATGGATATGACATGGTCTCTAAACAATATAATGGACCCTGAACACATCCTATGTTCTGAATGAGCCCGTCAAATGGTGGATTCTCCTAGGCAAAGTCAGATCATTGCAGACCATGATTTCGTGCCCCGAACATATACCAAGAAGTCTTAGATGGGTGTCTTGAGCTACTGGACGTTATAAGTGAGTAGTGAATCATCCCAAACTAATCAAGTGGACATCTTGCACGTGTGATATTAAAAATTGTTGCCAACAGCCACATCACCTATGAATGAAAATGTGTATTTCATTTTTAAAAAAATTTAACTGATGATATTTTATATGTGATATGAAAGATTTGGGAGGTATAAATGTATTAAAAAAAAAAAAAAACTTAATTTAGGTGTTAGATATTTTAATTCATGGGAATTGAATTGCATGCATGTAAACACCCCTTTATTTTATTAAAATTTTAATTTTTTAAATAAGATCTCATAAAAGCCATTTAAGGGGCCATGTGTTTCACCAATAACTTCTATATGTTATCTTCTTTGCCAAACTATGAAGATATTAGTTTTAAAAATGTATTTTAGCCATATTTTGTTGACATTTATATATTCTCTATTTTTAAAAACACATAAATATTAGATCATGTAACCTAAAAAAAATATAAAGATAATCTGAGAAAACATCATAATCATTATTTGTCTGACTAAATAATTCATTTTATTGATAGTGTTGAATTTGAATCAATTAAATTTAACTAACAACACTATTATTCAATTGATATTCTTATTTTGATAACACGACTATTCATCCAACATTGAATTATATATCTTTAAAATTTTGAAAAAAATGATTTAAGATTGATGGAATTATAACATATCATGTGATATAATATTTTAGAATTTTTGCTAGTTATCAAAATGTCACTTTAAGAAAATTTAAATACACCCCCATTCATTATAATAAAGAAATTCAAAATTAAAGAGAATATAAAAATCTTAAAATGTTCAAAGTTATATTCGACAATCAATATTGACAATTACCAACAACAACAATTATTGCTCCATTTTCATCACCCGATATCATGACATCATCATGATTGTCGCCCGATTATCACCATACAAAGACCATCATGTGATTGTTATAATTTGATTACAATCATCTAACCATCATTGTCTGACTGACATCACATGAGCATCATCATGATACTTCATTACTTCTAAAAAACTCTTCATCACTCCATGCATAAGATTAAGCATACATTCTATAATTTATAATTATGTTTTCTTCAATTGAATGGAAGAATGAACTTGTATAATCTCATTTACAAATTTCTTAGTCAATATTTAGATTGAACGAGATATATGAAAATGAAATAAACTTATGGGGGACTTAACATGCATGTCATATATTTTATTTCTTAGAAAACTAACACTTTATTACATTAAAAAAAAGAGTCACTTACATACATGCTTTCAAATTTTGTATTCAGAGTATTCATATATCTAACACCTAAATTTTTTTTCTTACATTTATACTACTTAAATAAATACATAAGAATTCAGTGGCATGGACATGAATCTCCCTAAGAAAAATTCATGATAAATCTGCAACTTATATTTTTTTCATTTTTATTGAATTCTCAATAATTTAATTGTGACATGCGTAAATACATCAATTTGATAGTTAAAAAATATTATCCCAATATTAAGTTTTATAAATAGTAATATTTTGGGTCGTATGCATGTGATTATATTTCTCTTATATATTATATATTATGTATTAACTAGTTGCTATTTTTCTTATACATTATATTTTGAGTAGTTGCTAAAAATATGCATAACATTGCCAAACAAATGAAGCCCTTACTCCTTTGCTTTTCTTATACCACGACGCCCAGCAGTGTCAGCGAACATTTTGAAATCGCCAGTCCAACGGCTAGTCTCTCCCTTATCGCATACACCGCACGAACTCCAATATATTTACTACCCCTGTCCCCCTCCTTCTCTCTCATCCCTTCTTCTGCAATAACTAAAGCCCAAAAGGACGAATCCCCACCACATTATTACCCTTTTGCTTCTTCATAACCCATTTTCTCTTCAAGACTCCAACGTAGAACCCTTCCTTTCGGCCATGGCTTCCCTTTTCTTCTCCCAAGTGCTTGTTCTTGTTCTTGCCGTGGCGCTCCATTTCTCCTGCGCCCTAAATCCCGGCCCTAAATCCCGATGGTAGATCTCCTTTCCATTATGATACTTCTTCGCCCTATTTCGTTATCTCAGTTCTATGATTCATTGTAGGGATGGCGTTATTGGAGCTCAAGGAGGGGTTCAATGGCACCAACTGGATGCTTAGAAGCTGGACGGAGAAAGACCCAAATCCCTGTGGTTGGGCTGGAGTTACTTGCCATTTACCTGATCTTAGAGTTAGATCAATGTTGTTGTTTTACTGATTAGCATCTTCTTACTCCTTGTTACCTTTTTTATGTACTCTTTTGCTGAATATTTTGAATGTTGGGCAGAAGTCTTCCATACATGCAGCTTGGCGGCATTATTTCTCCTAGCATTGGCAAGCTGACGAGGCTGCATAGACTGTAAGGGCTCGTAATCCGAGGAGTAATGGTGATTAGGGCTGAAAATTTTTATAATTTTCCTTTTTTTTTTGTTTTTGGGGTTTTTTGCAGTGCTTTACATGAGAACAGCCTTCATGGACCGATTCCTGTAGAGATCAAGAACTGCACCGAGCTGAGAGCTTTGTGTGTGATCCTTTCCGATTTTGTTTTGGGAATTTTTCATATTTTTTACTTTTGGAATTATTGCATTATTGTCTGTGATTTTTATATATATTATTATTGTTATTATTATTATTTTTATATATTATGAAGGTATTTGAGAGCTAATTACCTCCAAGGAAGCATTCCTCCTGAGATTGGGGAGCTTAAACATCTCACTATTCTGTTTGTTTTCTGGACCACCTCAGTTGTTCTTCTTTCTGCTTTATGTTTCATTTTGCTGTGTTGATAATGGCTCCCTTAACTGCAGGGATTTGTCAAGCAATCTTTTAGTGGGCACTATTCCTCCTTCCATTGGCCAGCTTACGCAGCTTCATTTCCTGTGAGTATGCTCGTTTGTAATTTTTATTTTGAAGGAATGGAAGGTTTGAAATCATATTTATTCTTGCAAAAGTATGTATGCTGACCAATCTTTTTTCTTAGAAAGGCAATTTTTGAGCAGTTGTTCCCGCCCGGACCAAAAGATAAAAACAAAATGATTAACAAAGCAAACATTTTTAAAAGTGGTTATTTTATAAGAAAAAAATGTAAATTCTAGTAGAGGTTAGAGTCACATCGTTGGTCATGCCTTTTGCTCAATAGCACCAACATAGGGTAATTTAAGCAGTAATTCCATGACCATGTGATTGATCGAATAAAATTTATTCAGTTTAGTTTGATTGAGATTGTTTGGCTGCAATTATGTCGACTTATTTTTGATCCCTTAAATTTACTAAATAGGTATAATTATTATTTTCCAAGCCTGACTTAGCTTGTTTTCTCAAAAAGGGTCTAGGGTTCGCTTTGATGCTATTAAAAGTGTGTAGGTCCTGGATTGTGTTACATCTTATTTTTCTTCTATTTGTTTCCTAAATCTTAAACATTGTAGCTTTGGTTGACTCTCTCTATTCAACTTTAACTAACCATGTTTATTAAGTTGAACATTGCTTTTTCCCAAAATATAAGTAGGTCTCCAGACGCACTACACTGCTACTAATCATTTCCTTACTTCAATAGCTCAAAGCATTTAACATATTAACCTCAATCAGCTCTAGTGAACATTGGTCAATTATATTTAATCATCATCAAGCTTACTCAATTATATTTAATTCTTTAGACTCGGTCAACTCTATTGAACTGATTATAGTGGCCCCCAAATGTGTTAAAGTTTAGACCTTAACTATTTGCAATTTTTTATTGAACAATTTGTTGCTCACATTCCTATCTTTAGGAAGACTATTCATGAGTTAAAAGGAGAGAGATGAAGGAGAAAGAGAGAGTACAAGTGAGGTGAAACTTTGTCGAAACACCATTGTGATGTCTACTTAATGGTATTTTGGGTTGTATTGTAAATAGTGGTTTGTTGGTGTAGTGCATTGAAAAGGAGCACTGTAGCAAGAGGGAGAGTGGAGCATGAAAGTTAGTAGTGGGGTAGTGCCAAGGTGTGAGAGTGTAGTGTAAATGAGTAACTGACATGTTCCAAGTGATGCGAAGCACCGATGACTCATGCAAATATATGCAGCATATTAGAAGTACTGGTTTAGAGTTCTGAATGTCGATTCCACATGGATAAGATAAACCCAATTTGTTAGATTTGGTAATAACTTGAAAAGTTTAATTAGCAAGTCAAAATGATTCTCAATCCTACTTTTTAGAAAGTAAGTCTATCCTAACGAGTAAGAAAAAATTAGAAGGAGGTCAAGTTTTAGAAAATTTTCCCCTTGAGTTGGTTCAATGAAAAACAAAATTGAGGATGTGATTAAGACATAATATCATTCAGAAGCATAGTTTTTCTTATCCCCTTTTGGTGGGTTTAAGAAAGATTGGTTATCATGAGCTTAGTTCTCTAAATCCCATGTCTAGCCCAAACAAAATCAACTCCCTATTGATTACATAAACACATAGGATATATTCATATTCCTTTGAGTTTATGTGATTAACCCGTTCCATTCTACACTTTTTCCTTCCGGATCTCAAAGTTCAGAATAGATTTTTAATATTTTGCTGGTCATATAGAATGTAAATTAAGATCAAGGGTTAGCACAACACTATTCTGAGAATCCTTTTCACTCATGAGTCATTATTATTTCATTCCAAAAATTTGAGTGAGGTGACCCATGAGTGAGCTGCCCTTAATTGATGTTGGGGAAATAGTTAATCAATCCATTAAAAAATGATGAATCTTGAGTCCACCATTCGATTGGTACATCATCCAACTATTTTTCCTTCGTGTCAGGCATGAGAGTTGGGGGGGAACTATTGTCTCTTATTAAGAAGGTAAGGAAGAGGAGTTTTGAGGTGTGTATAGGCATCCTTCATTCAAGAGAGATGAGAGCTCTGCACGTCCTTCTTCCTCTTTGAGGTCTCACCCTTTCTTTAC